TTAGGGTTTAGGGGTTTAGGTTCAGGTTTGAAGTTGGTGTTCAAGGCCTAGGGACGCGCGGGCCCAAAAATTAAGGACCCTATTGCTTGGGGTTGTTTTTTGCACTTATACTATAAACGCAGACGCTAGTCTTGTCATCAAGGCCCCTACATTTGCCATGTTTAGGACGTGTCAACCCTGCACCGAAGCCCCGGCAAAGCTGCGATCATGTGATCCTAAGCCCTAAATCCTGTTAATTAGGGTTTAGGGTGTAGGGTTCAGCCATAAGCACTGACGGGCCTAGCATGCATTGGATCTGACCCTGGGATGACCGTTCAGCGAGAACTTTGGTGGGATATCAGGAACATGTTAGTGGCAGTGCTACTAATAACTAGTAAAGCTAACGCCAGGAGTATGCAGAGTGTTCCGTAGCTGACTGTCGGAAAGAGCTTGCCAGGTGCCATCGATAATCGTACTAAAAAGTAAGCCCCTCAAGCCGAAACCCTGTAGCGTAGGAAGTCATCGAATAGCATCAGGAACGAGTATGAGGAGAGCATGGGTTTCTTTTCAGCAACCTGGGCTACCGTAGGTGGGGGTCCTTGGCATAAGGATCCTATTATCTTGGGGTTCTGTGCAACAGTCTCAATATGGTTCTTTGTGCTTGCATATGATTATGTCCTTCCATATGTTAGTGCTGCAACTGGTGCCTGGTTTCTCATTTCAATATGTTCGTGCACGCCGTTTTTTTGTTCAGTGTTCCATGGCTTATTGTTATTGTCGTTTTTTTGCTGTGACGATATTGTTTCGGCTTTTCTTGACGTCGTTATGGCTTAGGAACTTTGCACCTCAGGCTCCGCCAGGATGCATTACGGCTCAACACGTGCACGTATTGCTTCAACCGAAGCAACAGAAAACCCCGCGAGACTGAAGAGCAGCATCACGCTCACTGCGCTTTGCAGCAATGGCACGCTGACGAAACACTCTTGGCAAGTTTAGCTCGCTCGCTGGCCAAGGCAAGCCTCTGCCGTGAGAATGCGTTCTAGGTACGATTCCGGGTTTAGGTTTCAGCATGCTGATCAAACATGGGTGGATGTGATGCTGTAGTTCCAAGAGCAGGTTTCGCCTCATGCTTTTTTCCGTTGCCGCCGTTAGTATTTTAGGAAGTCTAGCAGTCTAGCAGGGCCCGAGGAGGCCAGAGCCGTGACCTGATTGCTTTTGCAAGGGCGACCTCCTGATATGCCCCTAAACCGTAAACCCTAAACCCCAAACCCTAAACCCTAAACCCTAAACCCTAAACCCTCTTGGTCCTTATCTGCAAAAGGGGAGCTGCGGCCATCTCTCGAGGTTAAAGGCACAGCCTGTTGGTCCGCTGCTATGGTTCCCGTCTTCGCAGTGGGAGTTTCTGAAAACATGGGGGTACCTTATTTTGGGGTCCTTATGATAAGGATCCTACAGTTTAGGGTGCTATATTAGGCCCCCCTCTTTTCGGAAACTCCCATGTCATGGCAAGGCCCGCATGCTGCTTTGCAATCTACAATCGTCTACACATGTCTTCTTGAAAGATTTCGTCATTTCCCCAGGGAAACTGGTATGCAGCTTTCCCCAGGCTCAAACTAAACACTCAGAAGATACAGTATTTCATCATAAGGCGGGAGTGGACCGTGGTAGTGTGGTAGAAGAGATTTCGAGCTTCTTTGATCTGTCACGTTGCGTTCACAAGGATTTCGATGTTTCAGCTTCTTAAAGTGCCTGAGAAACACGTTTCGAAGTTTGTCCGGCTACATTCTGTCAGTACCGGCGGTGCACATGTCATCGTCTGATGGATCACACGAAAGCTGCGGGGTGGGGTTTGCTAGGCACATTGCTTGGAGCCGTTAGCTTCACAGCCACATAGGCTTTAAGCCAGGAGGGTTTAGGGCCTGGGCCTGTGAAAAATCATCGAATTCTTCCCATAGGCTGTTTCGAAAACACCAAGGTCGATGAGCCCCCAACACGTTTCCCAGACCCTTTTTTAAACCAGGGTTCCCTGCCGCGGATTGAGGCATAGAGCTGGAGAACAGGAAATAGAGAAGCAGCAAGGTCATGCAAGCGGAAGTCATTGTTAGACCACCTGCCATGTCAACTCGCACCAGTCTCGAATGCAACATCTGTTTTTTTCTCTATTGCTGCCTGTATCTGCCGTCCCCCTCAAGCAACAAATTCCTAGACCCCGGTCACAACCACTCCTGCACCCCGAAGTCATGTCACAACTGTTGTACGGCTTTTGAAATGATGCATTCAGGTGATGCTGTCGAGCGAGAAGGATGTTGCAGGGTTAGGGGACGTAGGAAAAGTATAGGGGCCCCTTTCCATAAGACCCCTAAAACCCTAAACCCTAAACCCTACTATAGGGGCCTTAATAATTATTTACTGTATCCTATTTTGGAGGTTCCTTATTATAATTACAGTATAATGGGTCCCAGAGCCTATTTTAATGATTAAGGCCCCTACACTCAACTCCCAGTAAACACATCTCTGAGTGACCCAAGGTTCTGGAGCAGGTCAGCGCGCTCGGAGATGCGACTTGGCCCCAATCCCGAAGCCCTATAGCCCTGTCAACCCTATGGGTTTAGGGCTTAAGGTTTAATGTAGGGGCCTTAATAATTAGAATAGGGTTTTGGGTATACTATACTATAATTCTTATAAGGAACCCACAATAGTATAGGTAATAAATGAAGGCCCCTATACCGCAAAACCCCATATCCTTCTACTCGAAACCCTTAAAGGTTTAGGGCTTAGGGCTTAGTTTCCGGTGTGAAGCTTTGGCGCGTTGGGGTCGGTTTTCTCCTTGACGACCGCACGTTTTCATGTTAATTGCGCTGTTGCCCAGGGTTCCTTATTTATTCTGGTTGTAGCGCCAAGCCTACCCGTAGACTCTGTTTCAACTGTTTGAAAGTAAGTAGAGTTTCTGGTCTTTTGGTTGGGTAAAGTTTTCGGTGTAAGGTTTCATTCGGAAGTGGCTGTCATTGGGCCAGCCAGCGCGGCTGAAGAACTTCTCGACATCGAACCCAATATCCGAAAATTTAGGATTTGGGGCTTAGGGTTCAGTTCAACAGCAGGTGGCAAATCATTAGGCCCTTACCCCAGATAAAAAGCAGGACAAGGCGTGCGATACACTTCTTCTATGTTCCAACTTTCCGGCCACTGCTATTAGCAAGTCTCGGGTCGAGCGAAATAAACCCTAAACCCTACTCTCCACTTGGGCCTGCAAGGGAACGATCCCTGTCAACAGGAGAGTTGTGCGAGAAGAACAGGCGCCCCAAACTTCGATCAAAAAGCCAGGCCTTAATAATTAGGATAGGGTTTTGGGGTCCATGAACTCTAACAAGGAGCCCCCCAAAACAGTATAGGTAATTATCAGAGACTTTAAACACAATCAATAGCCAAGGCCACAGTGTAGTAATATTTGCGGTGGTTGTGTGAAGAGAGGTACGACGAGAAACATCGACAGCAGCAGTTTCCACACTGCATGTACGCCAAGTTCGGTCTGTATCTAGTTGCAGATTGCACAAAAACAGAAAACCCATAAACACCAAACCCGAAGCGCTTACCCCCAAACCCGAAGCTCTACACACCAAGCCCCTAAACCCTAAACCC